TCGCATTGTCGAGAGTAAAAATTTATTTGTTTATTTATTTATTTATATTTAAACTTTTCAATAAACGCTTCACTAACAGCATGCTTATAGTTTGCCATGAGAGTCTCAATTACATTGGTTAGATGGGTTTCACGTGTTGCAATGGCGTCAACATTTGAAAAGGATTAGAGGAAGAAGGCCTGGCTATAATGTTTAGGGTCCACGGGAATTTCTTCTCAAATTCACCACAAAAGTTGCGGTGTGTCTGAGCTGCCTACTCTCCCAACTTCTTTTTAGAAAGTGATCGAGAGGTCTGTAGGAGCTTTAACTCATTCTGCTATTTTTAGCTTATTTCCCTTCGCACAGGGAAGATACTAGCTACAATCATGTGACTCTCTACCCACATCACTCAAAAACTATTGATGCGCACATAATCAATAAGCAACTTAGTTTGAACTCTGGCTCATACCATGTAGCCAACTTTCACCAGTGTTTTCCCCGTGCAATCTTTCTGCCTAGCTGTCGTAGGGTAATTTCGGGGGCCCCCAAAATATATTATTGGCATATCAACAAGATTTTCTTTCCGACATCCAGTAAGGACGGCGGGACATGGCGATCTTCGGACTCCGCACCTAGCCAGCGCTCCTACAGGTCCATGAGTGACTCTACTAAGTTCGTCCAATACTCCTTGGGTTGGTGTCCTGCAGTACGACCAACAGTCAAACCTACAGCATGAGGGCCACATGGCTCTCTCTGAGTCAATGCAAACCATTATGCGAGTGTTACTCAAAACACTTACACACAGCGCCGCACACATTGATATCTGTTTTGCAACTGAATAATGCAATGTGTAGCAAGTGGGCCGGGCCGCCTTATCCACCTTTCAACATCATCGAACATCGACTTCAATTGACCAATAAGCTTAGTAATGTAGGTAGCTGCATCACCACTAGCGGTCACATCGCCGATGAGATTGCCGAATGCATTTCGCGACATGGAACGAGAGCCAATCGTTTATGGTTTACAACTCTGCGGTTCTGCCAGTGTTTCTGGAGAGATCAAAAATGTCGGCACTGCGCACTGAGGAGATTCACTGAGTTTGATCACCGGCAACAGCAAGCACTACTCAAACCCAACACAGTATGTTGTCGACTAGCGTTTCGAAGCAGATAACTGGTGCCTCAGTAGAGTGTCAGGTGTATAATAACAACCTTCATTGGCTCCGTCATGTGCTCAGGATTGGTGCAAGTTGGTCACCCCCACCTACACAGATTCCCAACAATGTTAACGTCTTGATTCTTTATCCGAGCTGAGTAATTTAATGTCAAACGTTTCACCACTTCCCTCAGTGGCATCTTCAGTGTACAGCTCCGTAGGGGAAATCTCACGGAAAATGTCGTTGGGACGTAGCGTTTGAAATTACCCTCGTCGATCTGTGTCCCGTGACCTCTGTTTGTTCGATACTTAGCCGTCCAGCTTCACGCCTTCTCAGCTTTAGGCACACGGGATCGAGATCAATGCGGAGGTTCAGGAAATTCTCCGTAGAGAACCATGCTACGAGGAATTCCCTTCCTTTTCTTGTCCCTCCGTGTGCCAGAATTTCTGTTTTGTCCCAGTTAACATTGTGTCCTTCCTCATCGAGGTGTGCTGAGATCTGTGACGATATATGATGATATCGACACGCACGTTTGTGCTCTTTTATTCTTGTGGATAGTTTTCTCCCCGTCTGACCTATATAGTCTTTGTCACAGTTCTCGCATTTTATCCTGTAGATGACATTTTGGTGCTCTTGTGCCTCCAGTCTTTCTTTAGGTCTAGATAATATTCTTTTCAAAGTCCCAGTTGGTATGTGAGCTATGGTCAAATTGTGCGGTTTGAGGAGTCTGGCTGTCTTTTCCGATATGTTTTTGATGTACGGCAAGGCGATGTGTTACGTCGTCGTTGGTGCAGGTGTGGTAGTTGTGCTCCTTCGGTTTAGGTGTCTTCGGATGAAGCTGCGTGGGTAGCCGTTACGAATGAAAGACATAAACAGATGTCCCTCTTCCTTACGTTTTGCCTCTGCAGTATTGCAATGCGATTCTATCCTACGAAACAGGGTCTGTATACAGCTTATTTTGTGACACTTAGGGTGATTGCTGTTAAAGTTTAGGATTTGGTAGGTGTGTGTTGCTTTTCTGTAAACTGATGTCTGTAATTCGCCTTCTACCGTTCTGGTGATCAGCACGTCCAAAAAGAGTAGTTGGTTTTCCACCTCTTCTTCTATGGTGAAACGAATACCTTCCATTGCATTGTTAAGTAGGTCTTGTGCGGTCTGCAGCTGGTTGCGTTTGAGAATCACAAACGTATCGTCAAGGTATCGCACCCATAATTTCGGACTAAGGACTGGGAATATATCCTCTTCCAACCTCTGCATGACGACTTCTGCAATGAGTCCAGATATGGGGGATCCCATTGGGGCTCCTCTGACTTGCTCGTAGAACACTCCGTTGAATTTGAAGTAAGTAGTAAGACACAAGTCGAGTTGCTTGCATATGCTTTCAGTTGTTAGCCTCCCAGTCGTTTGTCCTCCATTATTCAGACGTTCTTTGATATTTTCTTTCGCTATTTGTAAGTTGATGGAGGTGAAAAGTGTGGTGACGTCAAAGGATACCATCACTTCTTCATGGTCTATCTTTATGCATTTGAGCTTTTCCAAAAACTGCTGAGCATTATTGATGGAGTATTGCTATCCGCTGGCCAGATGTTTGAGGCCCTTCCATAATTCTTTAGCCAAGTTGTAAGTTGGTGTACCTGGGAGTGATACTATTAGACGTAGCGGCGCACCCTCTTTGTGTACTTGAGGAAGGCCGTAAAACTGTACGATGTTTGGATCACGAGCCTTCATTCTATCATACTCTCCCTTTGTGAGTTGACTTAATTCTTGAAGTTTCTTAAGTGTCTTATTCACTTTATTTGTCAACCCTACTGTCGGATCGTTCTCCATACGTCGATAGGTTGTTGTGTCGGCTAGGAGATGGCTTGCCTTTTCAATATAATCAGTTTTGTCCATTATGACAGTCATACGTCCCTTGTCCGCAGGCAAGATTACGATGGTTTCGTCGGCCTTCAAGGATTTCAGGGCACTCTTCTCTTGTTGTGAAAAGGAATTGTGTTGCTTGTTGCGTGCTAGCATCGGGACCACGGCATGTCTTATTTGTGTTTTGGTTTCTTCGTTAAGTCCATTGGATTGTAAGATATTTTCGAATTCTGCTAGGAACTCCAGCGTTCCAGCATCATTGAAGTTGTAGTTAAGTCCCTTGATGAGGACCTCTCGTTCAACGTCATCGAGATTCCGTTTGGACAGGTTCCTGACCCAACCATCGTTGACATCTGCGCACTTCAAGCTGGACAATTTGGACAACTTTTCTCGTAGGGCAGCCTGCTTTTTCACTTTTGCAATTGTTGATTTGCGATCAATCACTAAGTCTAACTGTTCTGTCATTTGTTGGCCGACTGTTCTTAGGCATGTAGTTCGGTGTTCCTTAAGATATCTTCCATATTTCTCGATCCGATTGTGTGCATCTGTGATCATCATTCTCACCATACGTTTTCCAAACTGCCTTGCAACTGCCCACGCTTGCGGATGGTTTATCGGAGGCTTGTAGTTTACACTTCTGGGGAGAATGTCATTTCGTAGGCATTCATGGAGGAAGAATAACTGTTCTTGTGTGGAGGCTTTCCGGCAGGCAAAGTCTTCCCAACGGCGTGCAGATCGGAGCGTCGAGCTACAGGTATTCCGAATCATCCCAACAATGTGTTTTGCTTGGTGAAATGCCGTAATGGCAATTCAATTACATGCTAAAAGAGGATGAAACAACTCAGCGAAAGGTCGCATCAAACTGGTCCTCGTTTTCATCCTGAATTCAGCTCTTGAGACCGACCACATAAGCAGTTAAGTACCTTAACTGGGTATAGCACAGTCACGAAGTCAGTGGTGTTCCTGGATGTATCCGCTTTTTCTGATACCCAACCATTTCAACTTTATGTTACTCGTGAGCAGCAGAATTTTGGATGTAAGCTTTAAAGGTATTCATCCTAGTAGTTCACAAGCAACATAGCACAGCCTAGTCCGGAAAAGCAGCAGACGCGTTTTGCCCTATTAGCGCTCGTCACTGATGTGCTTTCCCTCGGTCCCCTATTAGGGATCGAACCCACGACCGCTAGAGGTAGATGACAAGCAGCCAGCAGCTTAAGTTAATGAGCCATGGGGGACAATGGCTAGGCTAGATGCTATGGGATATAGCACCACCTATCTTCCACTGGCACAAGCTAGCCTGCGAGGTGATGACGTCCCCTCGCTATACGTTATATCCATAGCATTTGAAGAAATTTCAATTTTTGTTCAGTTTGCTTAAACTACTATTAGCAGTAATACTACTGTCAAGGACATTAATATAACTATAATTACTTTGGTGACGTGTGGCAAGGAAAAATGCGGTGCATAGGGTGCGGTTGACTAACTGCACTGAATAGGCAGTGGAGCGCCCGATCTGGAAATGCAAAAGACTTTTCAACGTGTGCAGAACGCTGCACACAAAACTGTTACAGTTAGTCCTGCAATGAGGATGAGTCCGAACACAAGGAAGGTGCGTGGCTCACGCACGCCAAGTTCATCAACCTGTAGTACACACACCCCAAGACACAAGTGTGGCTAATTATTTTGCTTTTGAGACTAATGTAAGAGAAGATGGAATCAATGGCGCAACTTAGATTGTAAGGATTTGTAATCGTAACGTAACGCAGGTGTATAAAGTGTGGGGATGGGTTATTATTAAGATTATTAAAATTAAAAAGGAAGTGTGTGCAATAACGTGATATCAGTTCAAATGAATTAGAGTGAGGGAAGTGTCGCAATGAGCTACATTAAGGGGATGAGATACCGTAATCTTCTCTATGCTATGCAACGGGCGAGTAGGTTGCTAGTAATTTAACGGAAAATGCAAAATGGCAAACACTAAACGCATGCGTTGTGCGACACTCACTTTTCGAGCAGCATAAGAACAGGAAGCAATTTCGGACATTGAGTGAAAACCACGTTCACTGGGAAAGGAATGGGAGAAAAATTTTGGAGATTCGAATAAAAGTGGAGAAGTTCGGTAGGTCAATGGGAAGCCAAAGTGCACATATGCAAACAAAGCTGTCGTAAACCAACGCTAGGAAGATGGGGCCATTTCGTACAGGAAGCTCATAGATGCATCAGGCACTAACATCACTTGACCTCAGGCACAAGTCACCTAATCTTCAAGTCTATCATTAGGGCTATGGAACTTGTGCCATAACGATAGTGTTGATCAAGAGATTTCGCGCCAATGCAGAAGATATGAACAAGCGGACTCTCCAATAAAGCACAAAAAGCCTGTGCTGATTTTATTCTCCGTGCCAATTGTTGAGACAAGTTGCTGTGCCAAAGAAACCGAGCAACAACGGATGGAGCGATGCCTGTGTGATCACAACACTAATAGAAGGCAGACAAAACACAAGAAAAAAACAGCTCAAACAAAAACGCATTGGTGACTAAAATTAAAATTTTGCGGTGTTGAAGATAACAGCAACTACCATACTAGATTGTCTGTGGCCATTAGTGAGCGGAATGCAATTTCCTTGATAAAGTGAGGCATACGAACGCCGTTCAGGTTGGACTACTGTTTTCCATCGTACAATGCCATCGTCACTTAACTTAGAGGTTTCATTCAAACAGTCGCACTTTCAGTAAGAAATAAAGGGGAAAGTGTAGTAGAAGAAGGTGCTACGATCAGACCATTTCTGGGCACGTGGTAGTGAACAGTATATTCCTTACAAGGGACAGCTCGTGAACATATGGGCTGGGACTGAAGAACAGAAATATGAGGCGAGTGAAGGAGAATTTCTGTTCATTCAGGGTAACCAAAGCAGCTACTCGGTTGGGCAACGACAACCACAGTATCTAAGCTGGCATAGTGCATAAAGGTCATGTGGAAGGAGAAAGAGCGACGATGATGCATTGTATGCGCAGCAGATACTTGAAGGCACTTACCGATTTCGCGAAGAATGAACAAAGCTCGAAAGGATAAGCAAACAAATATTGTTTCAGTTGCCAAAAGACAAAAGCAGTTGTACGCAGGCTTCAGTACGAACCGGATGGTTAATACCACACCTCACATTTATGCGATTCCAGTTGGAATGAGCATATTCCCAGCATGCTCACAATTCCGGGCAAAATGAAATCGAAAACCTAGACGTAAAAGCGTGTTAAAGGAATAGCTACTGAAACGTTTCCAGTAGTCTGAAAAGCAACGTAGGTCAACCCAAGCACCTTTTTCAGTACAGAGATCAATTGCCGGAACCGGCACGGCCAGTGAGAAAGTAGGTATGTGATCTTGTGATGGATTGCAAGTTGCATAAAACGACGTGACGCTTCCGCTGAACTATAATGGTTAAAACCCTTTCCTAATTGAAATAATTATTATCTTCTAGGAGATTTACCTAACTCTCCGATGGTATGTAGCCGTCACCCAAGGTCTACACCTTTCCCCAGCCAAATGCATCCACAGCGTTTATAAATTACAACTTAAGGAAATTGTATTCCTCCATAGATCTGTCAAAATGGTCTACAACGCTATGAAGTTGAATCCAACGGGCCCAAACGCCCCTGAAAATGCGTGTTGTTTGTTGAGCGACCAAACCCAAATCAGCCGATATCACGACAGTGGGATGCTATTGGCTGTCCTGGGACTTGTCACTTAATGAACAGCAGCATTTGAGTGGGTTCGCGCCCGTTGGGTGTAATTTGATAGCGTTAAGGACCATTTTGAGAAATCTACGGAGGAACATGATATTTTTGAGGAGGGAGTTGAAAACGCTAAGGGTATTTAAGCCGAATGCGTTAAGAGATTATGAGCTCAACTCCTGATGAGCCGAGGGATGAACACCACTGACCAGCCTCAATAGGACGAAGCGACAACTAAGGCATTTCTTGGTGTGGGAGGATGTCTGACCAGGGTCTAACTGCGACGGAACAACTAATTTCCACCAAAATCCCCTGTGTATAGGTGATCAAAACTAGGATGACTGGCATTTCCCATAGTGTGAAGCAAAGCGGTGTCACAGACTATGCGCTTCTTCACATGTAGCGAGCCGCTATGCTTTCATGTGCATTCAATGCACCTGAACTCGATAATTGCCTCCAGCAGCAAACGGTAGAAAGATCGAAGAATATCCGTTGTTTCGGGGAGAGAAACGTTCCACAATGCAACGGGAAACGAATCCGCCACCGAACTGTGTACGCCTGGTACGCATAGTTATTCAAGTTCTACATCAAAAACGCGCATGTTAATGGACTGTAAACGAATCTTTGGTTCCATATGCATACCTTTCCACGCCATTCCTTTGAGTATACTATGGATAAGGTGTTTGTATATTGGGCAGTTGATGAGACGAGCCCCTCATAGTCCTTCTACTGGTACAGTTTCGTTGTAGTTGTCCGCAGAAAGAAAAGCAAATCTGGAAAATGATGCCGCCGGGTGTGTTGAGGACGAGGGGTGTGCTTCGTCGACATCCACCGGTTTGTGATGGGGAAGAAAAGCTCTGATACTGCGCCGAGGTGTTTGGTAAACAGAGGCTACTTGTATTCGCTAGACCCGTTCAGACCTGCTTGTCACCGAAGCATCTGGTAGGAATAACGCATGGAATGGCCAGTTGGTAATGTATCAGAAAGGCATGGAAGACAATCGAAACGATCAAAACAACCGATGTCGTATAGTTGCGGAGACAATGGTGGTTTTGCATTGTCTCCAGAATCTAGCCCATAGCATTCCAAGCATGATTACGTTTGCGCACTATTTACCTTAGCCCACTTCCCTTGTATTCTCGTGTGCCTTTCGCCTACTTTTCCGCAGCTTGGTGAATAAGAAGTAGCGTGACAAGATGAGCAGTGAAGACTGAATGCAATGCTTCTTAAAGTCTGAAACACTGGCATTTAACTAAAATCAACTAAGAGGTTGCACTGGGTTTTGGGGGCTTCGATAAGGAATACTTAGTGGATTTATGTAGCATGGTTTAAGCAAATTAACCGAAGCCTCAAAAGGCCTTATTTAGTACTAATGGTGCAAAATAGATAAACAAGTGGCGATTCCACTACGCGGCCGGTTTCCTCTTCCGTCTCGATGAAAGTAGCTAGTTTCCAAAATTACTGTGGCAATGCTTCCCAGCAGACTGTGATAGTAATCAATGACACAAGGTCCAACTGTGCCCGCTACACATGCTGACAAGTTCCCATTCATCCAGCCTTACCATTTGAGTACTGGCTCCTAAAGAATGGAGAAGAAAAAGGCACAATCTGCGTAATGATACTTGGCTCAGTAGGCGTTCACATCATAGAACGATATGCGGCCTAAACCGTGCGTTGTGTACACGCGGCGTGCATGCACATCCAAGTTAGCTGGAAGGAGCGACTGCAGCTGGTCGATGCCACACAAGTCGAATGCTAGTAAAAACCACGTATGCGCACATGTGCATTATATCTACGGCATATATATATATATATATATATATATATATATATATATATATATATATATATATATATATATATATATATCGTAACAGTTCGTTCTCATCCCAGGCAAGATAAGTGATAAAAACGCGGCTACACATAAAGTGGTCATCGCTATTGCCTATCAAGGCACTTGGGTTGGGTTAATTGCGCGAGTGCCTGTAGTCATGCTTGCAGAAACTAGAAAAAAAACGTTGCGTACCTCGCGTTCTCGTATGTACCAGTCCCAGTTGTATGCGCTATCGCGATGGCTTTGTCTGGAGAATAAAGGAAACAGCGATCTAGGATCAATGTCAGCTTAGTGAAAAGACGATCATCAGAAAGTGAGCGCATGACATCCTTGATCGGTCAACAGACTTTAATAGAGAAATCATCGCACATAACAATGACACACCAGTGACATACGAAAGCAGACCATAGGCCAAAAAACCCATATAATCAAGAAATTTCGCCAATGGAAACAGAAAGTAGCCTTTTGATGGTGAGAGACAAAACGTTTGCAGGCAATAATGCAATCGTGTTGATAAGAGATCATGTGCAATAGGTGAGAACACACATTTAGTCCACTCAACCGAAACGACATGCTTCCGCACGTCCTGCAGAGGAAGAAACCGCACTGGGGATGTGTGACGGACTAAGTGTTTGAAACAACGACGGGAACTATAGACCTGTGGCACTTATCCAGCTTAGGCAATGAAAAGTGCCATACATGTTGTGCATGGATTTGAGCGTTTAGATGTACTGTGATAAAGCCGATGGCGACTTATATATTGATTGTATGAAGAAAGCAATCGAATGAAATAGTAAGAGATGCACGCTATATTGAAATTAAAACAAACCGAGTGCCCCTTGAACTATGTATTCGGCACCGCTCCCATAAGAATGTGCGGATCACTATAATCCAGTTGCCCATTGCACATGCAGACTAACAGGACCAAACGTTTCTGAATCCGGAGACAGGTTTACCTGGACACTGTCATTCTTGAAAGAAGCCACCCAATGCAACACAACAAAGGTGAGGACTACGCTTAGCAAGGAAGAGTCCACAAGCAGGTTGCAGTATTGGTACGCGATAAATAGTTAATAGAGCATGACATTTTATACTGGCAAAAGAAACCGGCATAATCCCAAAGCAAGCTTGTCAAAACCATTCGTCTGAAGTAAAGGCAGCCGCGATCGTAAGTAACAAACAAACCAACGATATCACATACAGGTCAGGAAATGAAAACAGTCCGAATAATGTGGAACATACTAACCTTTCAGTTCAGGTTTTTCGCGAACAGCGACGGATACGAAGAAACAGTCGAGATCAATGTGAAAGAACGTTCGTGCAGGGAGTGATGGAGGTTTCCCCTGTTTCGGTGAAGAACACGCAGGTCGCGCTTCTAAATTCACAAAGTAAGAAGGATCATTTGTCTCTAGTATGGACTGCCTCCAGGTAGCCCCTTCACGACATGCTGCTTCAGAACTGTTGACTTGACGGAGCCTCTGAACCAATGCACGCAAGTCATTGGTCCAAGCTGACAAATGATGTAAACGAGAGCGCGAGTAGAAAGTGGTCAATAGGGAATCAGTAGAGGGAGTCGTCTGTTGTGCAGCGGTGCGTTTCGGGTCAGTGGATGAGCGACTGAAACTGTTATACTGTAACGCAAACAGATTGTTGAAAATAATTGATGAGTTGAGCAATGAAACATGAGAGATAAAATGTAGACCAAGCTATAAAATAAAAGAGTGAAATGTTCCGTGTTCGTGTCATAGGTCATAGTTAGGCGAGTATGGCAATGGAGGATAATCATAATCACGAGATTGATACAAACAGCAATACTTTGTGGATTATATCAGTGTTGGAAATCAGAACCAACCATCAACAGCAGTACATTAGCCATATGAACTGATGCTTCGCTGTCATACAACCATGATGACCTAGGAAACGAAGAATAATGACAAAGTCTTGACGACTAATCCTCAGCTCACTCATCAGAGGTTGACAGTAGAAATGCAAACGAACTACGAGAGAGCGATAAAATATATCCAAATTTTCTGCTTTATCCACGCCATGTTGAAATTCCGAGGTGGATGTTGATGTAGCGCGGAGTAGCTTCGTATGTCCACTGGAGACATGTGGACAACTAAAGCAGATTAATACTGGCTGCGTAGTGGTTCATTAGGTGGGCGACCAGCGTTCCCCTGCGGAACAACCAATGCTATGGGATATGGACTGGCTCAAGTTTTAATGTCATACGACAAGAGAGAAAATAGATATGTAGCATGAGAAAGTTGACAAAGATGCAACAGTAATAGTAAAGTCACAGCACCTAAATTGAGCTTAGAACTTGGAATGACAAGGAATATCAGAGAAATACAACGGTTTAAGATAGAAGAAGCAAGCTCGATTGATGTTTCCCGTTGAATTTCCATGTGTATGTGAGTCTCCTCTAAGTAGGCACGGCAGGGTGAAGATTCGAGTCGCACTTTCCCTTGTACACATCATTAGTGACATAAGAAATTCGAAGTAGGTGTGTTTAAGAAAAGGCAGGCACTATCAGAGTGCGCAGAGTGAAAATAGTGACTCGGTTAACCTCGCGTCTTCAGCTTCCATGTGGACACGGTAACCATGAGGTAAACATGACTGGATGATAGGTGAACACGAAAAGGCCTGAGGGCATGAGATGAGGTCTCGGTTTTCATTTCATTGTAAGCTACCTTTATGATGAATGTCAAGAGGAACGTGTGGTCGAGTAAGATTCACATCTAACAAATGTACGAGAAGTGATGATGGATAAGTTTCTTTTACCTGACAGTTTCCAAGGTGGCATGAGAACCTCGAAAGAGACAACCAATGAAACACAGAAGATTTGACGGGTTAGTCTGATCGATTGCTTCCGTTATCCATGAAATATGAACATTTAAGCCTAATCTACGTCTGACGTTACTGCTGACTGCCCTACAGATACGACCATCGATGATCAAGTGCATGATTTATACACATTTCCCTGCAGCACAGCATGTCCCCTCTGGCCACTTTTCGGTTGTATAGTGCTGTTGAGTTGCTCTATTGTCCCATAAACACAAAAAACAGCACAATTTGTTGAAGTCTCCTTGCATACCCATGAGGAGCCCAATGGCTTTGAGGTCAGCACAGATAATCCAACAGCATTTATTGTAGTTCAGTGCAGCGAGTATCTTGCATACTTACATATTGATGGCATGAAACAGAGGCACAGTTGGGTATACATTTCCATGGTGGAGCAGTTTGGCCTTAAGACTACGCGTGGACGAGTCAATGAACAAACGTCATTAATCACTGATATGCCTCACGCATACATGGTTGGCGGCATCCGGTTTCGAATTTGCCTGTCACTGTGGCCAGCCACAGGACGCATGCGCCTGCAGAGGAACCATGGTTGGCTTGCGCTGCACCACGCAAACACACCATATTCAGTGTAAACCCGAAGGAATAAGACAGGGAGGCAGGTGGATGGGAGCCACGTTTCATCAACGGAGCCGGCCCACACTCCTTCACAGGCAAACACAAGGCAAAGGCTGGACAGTAGTCCGTTTCACTGAGTGCATGGAACCACTCTTCGAGCCTAACGCAGCCACGAGGACCGTGCACCCTGTCCCCTCCAGCAACGACCAACTGTCTCCTGGAGCCAGTTTGGACGAGGTAGTGGGTAATACACAGGTAGGCACCTTGTCAACGTGCACATCAAGCGCAGCCACATCGGGGATATCAAGCAACAGCCAATGAATTTAGAGAAAGATAATAAAGAGAACAAATGAAGTAATGCATAAGGAAACGGTGACATAAATCTTAAACTAATGAGCATCTGAAATAATTTGTTTACAAAAGAACCCGAGATAAGTTCACGAGGTCAGAAAGTATATTTGACGGAAAGGCCACAAACACGAAAATGTTATCGAGGTTAACTACAATTATCTTAAGCAACGTTTATAGTTCAGGTAGACATACATATGAGATAAAAAGCATTAGGACAATATAGCAAACCCACTACTTGAAATAAAGAGACTTAGCATGCGAGCACGCGGTTAGTAAATCGAATGCAGCGTACCTACAAGCGCTGCGCCGGTTCTGCCTACGTTCTCTGCAGGACTCATCGTCGCATCGTTGGTGACCCCGAGTGGCATCGCTCATGGCTCACTAAGCCTGTCTGACTGAGGCACTCGCGACCGCAAGTGCAACAGCACCATGCGCTCGATGTCGATGAGGTACAACCCATCGGCGCTTGCCCCCTCCGCAATGGCATATATACAAGCAACATATATCCAGTATGTACTGGTTTAACTTGCGACAATTGTGTACAATTGCCGAGGATATGCGACTAAATTACTATGAGCATGGCTTATTAGGCGTGTCTTCAACTGTCGAGAATGAAACAATTATCTATTTATGTATATCGGCCACCCATCCTATTCGTGTTTTCGCCTCGTTAGATAAACGCGTCACTTGACAACATCCGATCAGAAAAGGTGTGTCCGAGAAATACCTCAATACCATAACAACAATTAAAGCGTGTAGCTTGAGTATTCAAAGCTTATGACAAACAGCTGCCATCGCAATGAGGTTGGAACTTACAGTAGTGCGATGGTTTGTGTGTCTCAGCGACCCATTGAACAATGCTGGGTGGTGCTTTTGCACCTTCAGAGTCACTCACACCAGATTGATCAATGGTTAGAGGCCAGACAAACTCAGCCTCCTGGTCCTCCAAGTTGGGGGTTAGAATGAGGGTGGCACCTTATTCCTTAAAACAGACTCCTTGTAGCCCAATGCCAAACCCGCTGCCTTGCGGTCAGGTTTCGGAACCAAAGGCTTTGGTTGAGAACCCCAATCGTTCTCCTGTCTAGGCCTGGGCAACCTGAAAGTATCCTGAACACGCAATGCAATGAATTTTTCCTCAAACAATTTCTTGATCCTCTGGCCACCGCAGAAGATAATCAACGGTGCCCTATCTCCTGCATCGAGCAGGGTGGATAGAGTTTGTATGCTACTGTTCAAGCTTTCCCGTCTTCTTATTCCCCCTCTTACGCGTTTTCACTCTTACCGTCCCGTTCCAACTTCACTTTTATCCCCCCCAGTTTTCAACCCCGGATTATTGGCCCTCCCCCAACATGCTTTGCTATGCATTTATCTTCTAATTTCAACTCACATGTGGACGCGGAGCGTCGCTCTTCTGTCGATAAGCCCATGTCCAACCAAGCGGTTCATTCCAGTTCATCCGCTTCCAGTTGGAGCCCTCGATCCTCCTTCAGATTGGCATTCCTCAATGTACGCACATTACTACAGACCGGTCAACAGACAGCACTTGCCCGAACATTAGAGACCCTCTCGGTCGATATCTGCTGCTTACCAGAGACCCGCCTGCGAGACTCGAGCTTTGTGCTCACTCTGCAATCCCCTTCAGGTGACGCAAGCAGTATCTTCTCATTGCGCCTATCCGGTGACGATAAGGCTTCGAGCACCGGACAAGCTGGTGTTGGCATTGCCCTGAGTCCCCGGGCTGAATCTGCTCTGGATGATTGGATTCCAATCAGTAGCCGGATGTGTCCGGTCCGATTGGCTGGCTCGTTCAAAGCTTCGAAGTCGCGCGGGACTAATAGGTGTCTATTTATCATCGCTGCCTATGCACCCACAAACTCTAGCGATGATACGGTAAAGAACGGCTTTTACGGCCAACTGACCCAGCTCCTTCGTCACAGAAGAAGCACGGACACGGTTGTGCTGGCGGGGGATCTGAACGCACAAGTTGGAAAATTGTCCACTGATGAACTGCATCTGGGTGGTCAGCACGGTGTAGGCTCACGTAATGATAACGGTGAGCGGTTACTTCATTTGTGTGAAGATGTCCGCTTATTTCTTGCGAGCACTAACATCCGACACAGCACACGCCGGAGGGTGACTTGGCGCCCACCAGCCTCGAACCAGCTATGGACGCAAATCGATCACATTGCTATCAGTTACCGCCGGGGAGGCTGCATCCAGAACTGTCGCTCGATTTGGAGCACATGTGTGGACACCGATCATGCACTTGTATGTGCTGATCTGCGGATGCGTTTTGGCGGACGCCCACGACGACGCTGTGAGCGCATTGACACCAGCCAACTGACAAAACCAGCTGTTCTGAATGCGTATCGAAGTACGCTAACATGCGAGTTGAGCAAGCGCTCACAGGAGACAATTGATGGTCACTGGTCACATGTTCGCCATACCTTACTAGCAGCAGGCAAATCCTCATGTGTTGTGTCTAATAGCCAACATGGATATTGGGTCTCTTCGCGGTCTCTGGAAATTATCGATGCTAGCCGGCATATCCCGAACACAATGAAGCTCGCAAAGAGCTCCGGGCAAGACTCCGTGCTAGCCTGAAGAGAGACCGCGAATCTTGGTGGTCTCATGGTGCGTCAGAGATGGAAGTGGCCGCTGCCCTTGGCAAGTACTTTAAGCTATTCCGTCTGATACGGGAAACGGGCAGCAGGAGACCTGGTGTTAGTGAAGCTATACGTGACGAGAGTGGACAGCCTATCCACAATTTGTCAAAACGTCTGGAGCGTTGGGCTGAGCATTTTGAAAAGCAATTTAATCGGCTAGAACGGTTCGATTCTTCGCTGGCCAGTGATCGCCCTGCTCCGTGGGCTGTCCCTTTGGATCCACCCTCTCGCTCAGAAGTCGAACGTGAGATCGGACTGTTGAAGTTGAACAAAGCCGCGGGACCAGATGATCTTCCTCCAGCCCTCTTCAAATTCGGAGACTCTGCTCTTGTTGATGCTTTGCATGAATTACCAGTGAAACTATGGGAGTAGGAGACTGTCCCAACCGACTGGAGCCGCTCCGTTATTGTTCCCATCTTCAAACGAGGCTCGCGTTCGGAATGCGGCAACTATAGAGGAATCAGTCTGATCTCCATCGCCTCCAAATTACTCGCCTCTATAATCCTTCATGGACTGACTGGCGCTCGTGAAAGCCAGATTGGTGAGGAGCAAGCCGGGTTTCGTCGTGGTCGTGGCTGCATCGACCACATCTTCACCTTGCGCCAGTTGTTGGAGCACCACCACACATATTGGCGGCCCACCGTAGTCGTGTTCCTCGACATCAAGGGTGCCTTCGATTCGGTTGATCGATGTGCTCTTTGGAATTGTCTACTCAGGAAAGGTGTGCCCGAGAAATATGTAAATATTATCCGAGCATTATACGCGCGTAGCACGGGCAGAGTGACGGCTTACCGCAAGCTGTCACCACCCTTCAATATCTCCAGCGGTGTGAGACAAGGATGCCCGCTGTCACCTTTCCTCTTCAACTTCGCTATTGACGAAGTCATGGATATTGCATTTACAGGACATGCCTTAGAAGGTGTGCATTTACTCCCAGGTGGACAACTTCTTGACTTAGAGTATGCAAACGA